GTGAGTGATTTACAACACAGTTGCACGACATGCCCCCCAAATTTTTCTAATTTTTAAAAAACTTTCGCGTGTATTTTTTGCGTTGTAGTCGAGACGATACAACCCCTCTAAGTCAAAAGCCTGAATCTCTTGCGCCCACGGAATGGAAAAAGGATAGGGAGGCCTACCTTTTGCCACTGCTCAACTACATTCGCCGTACTTCGAGTACGCTCGTTTTGAACTTCTTGTTCGACTGGACGCAAATAATTCGCCATCCCGTGGGCTCATTGACGGCTCTAGTGGCATATCCGTTAGCATCTAGTATTATGGTCCTAGTTTCTGCGGGATTTCATGCGGCTAGTCACATCGATCCCGGACTTGGTAATAAATTTTATACAAGGATATTTGCAATGTTCTCTTTTGTACCCACCTATTTATCAACTGATTAAACTTGTTTAGTACGCCCAAAAATGCTGGATTACGACAGTATCAAACAAGAACTTGTTGATGCGGCCGGTGACTTTCTCCAAGACACGTTTGGACTCAAATACGACGACTTCCTAAAGATAACCCATTACAACAACTACAAAGACCCCCGCTACATGCGTCCTTCTTTCAACATAGATGTTGCCGAATTGATGTTGATCCTCTCGGCTCTCATGTACGAACGTGAAGAACCCGCTAATGGAGTCTACCCTAGCGAGGACATCCAATTGGAGTACTATACCGCTTATATTCGTAACCAAGCCCAAAAATGGGGTTTACGATTCAAATCACTATCCGAATTGGGAACAAACGCGAGTCCATTCTGTGGCGCGTTCTATGATCGGAATAAGAAATTTATAGTTATCGCGTTCAAGGGAACGACACCGACCGACTTTGCCGAGTGGGCTGTTGATGCTACTTTTATGCGGACCGATGGCAAAACACAACTGTTTGGTGAAGTGCATGAGGGATTCTATAGACTGCTATTTGGAAACGAGAAGAATGGGCGTTCAAAGATGATTGAGAGTTATTCCTATAGGAATATCTTGAAAAACTTGCTTGATATTATAAATGATATTCAGACCACCGAGGGAAGAGAAGCCAGCATTAATATCTGGGTTACTGGGCATTCATTGGGAAGTGCTCTTGCAAGCCTGTTCTATGCGAGGTTGATGCGCAGTCCTGCTGATCTGCCAGATGACTGTATTTTAAGGTAAATCGAGCTCGGTTGTAAAACTGTTTCGTGAAATAATTATTAAGTTTTTTTTTTGTCATGCATAACAGAGACGCGTACGTCTTTGGGACGCCCTGCATAGGCAATGAAGACTTTGCCGCCAACTTTGCCTCGCTTTGTAACACACCATCTAATCGTTTTAATACATGCTGGCGCGTAATCGACGAT